TTATCTGATGATCTAATTAATGATATTACCTCTTCCTATAAGCCTTGTATCTGCTATTAAATCAAGAACTTAAAATTGTTTTAAACTTTACCTACAGTGTTTTTACATACAGTTTCCCTGAAAGAGAGAAGAGAAAGTAGCAGTATCATTACAGCTGACTATTCAAATCCAAGAACAGTGTCTTACAAATTATATATACAAACCCTGATCTGTCGCCCACCCCTACTCCCTGAAATCCTTCCTCAGCCTATAAAAAAAGTCTATGCTGAGCATAGCACACCGTCTTCTAAGTTCCAGAGCTGAAAATGAGAGGGCATTGGCGCAGTCTGAGAACATCTCAGTAGTTTTACAGCACTTTCCTGCATGCAAGATCCACCATATGTGCTAAATCCCTTTCTTTAGGCTTAGAAAGATGGTTTGGAAAGCTACTCGGAGAACATCTCTCTGAGTAGGAAACACCCATAGCAGTCAAACGTTGCCTACACCTAGATAGTTCAGTTAGGTTTGAAACAAGCAGTTAGTCTTATATTGACACTGCAAAGTGTCCATATTACACTGTTGCAAATAATAGGGAGTCCATTTTCAAGTCTGTGCAAGCATGTACAAATACTTTCTGCCTTCCCAGCCAAACACTCCTAAAATTTATCCACATCATTTGAACAAAAGTGAATCTGACATGTAAGAACTGCACGATATAATTCTACCACCACCAAACACTCCAAGCACGATTTCTTCTAAGGTAAGAATGAGGCAAGAAAATTATTTAATGTTATAACCTACTGAATAGAAAGGCTGAGAATGTCAACTACAGGATGGCTAATACAATGGTATAATCATCAGACAGTGCCTAAAAGCAGAGGAGTGTAAGAGGCACTATTTCCTTTAACTTAAGTCTTCCAGGCCTCATCTCAAAGCAGTGACGTATCTAGGTGATCTGACTCTGAAAAGCAAGATTGTTCGTAGGCTAAATATGTCACAAAACTAAGAGCTACTACAAAAAACGGGTAACCTGAAGAGAGACAGAAGAAAACCAGAGGTTATCAAGTGTGCAATTGTAACGGTATCCCTGCAAAATTGAATACACAACACAGCACGTGATCTTAAAGCACAGTACAGCAAGTCTGAAGACTCATCCATGTTACCAGGTGTTTCTTTAACATGGCACAATTTTAAGAATCTTAGAAGTGTTACAAACTAGGGTCAATTCACAGAAAACAAAAGTATTGTAGGCAAAAAATTATTCAATTTGAATGTTTATATCCACTTCTTTAAACCTCATCTAACACTAAATGCTGTGGAACTTCAAGTAACAGGAAAGCTAATAGAGGAAAAAAAACGTAGTTCAGGAAGCAACAAGAAACCAGCTGAAAGGAAACCAGGCATTTGGAAATCTAGGTTTCAATTGCTTGTCCACTTATAGAAGCACGATTACATATACAAAAAACCCAAACCTCTCCTTTTTTCCAAGTGATTAACAAAGATATACTGATACATTCCAGCTTTTCCAAGCAGTTTGCCTGAACCTGAACTGGGATAGTCTCTGACAATCCATTACATTAATTTTTTTTTTTTTTGGTGACACAAACATTGTCATTCTGACATAAACAATCTCGTTGCAGCTTCTGAATTTTTGCCAGAGATAGAATCAAAGCAACAGTCATTAGGGAATCTTTTTTAAATGTGTTACTAATTAGAAAATTACATTCCTGTCATTTGAAATAATTAACCTGAAATCCTGGATCCTACATTTGGAATAAAGAAGCGTTTTCCCCATTTCATCAGCTCTCGGAAATATGATAAACTTAAACCTTCTAAAACTAAACGTGATGAGTTCCCCCACAATTTCTAACAAGCACCTTTAAAAGACATTCACTGCCTACCTGAACCATCACTGGAGACTGAACTCGCGTTAATTCCAGAAAGGCCAAATAAGGGACATTCTCGATCAGTGTTTACATGACCCCACTTGTGGCATTTAATACACCTCACATTCCGCACCTAAAAGAAAAAAAAAAAAAAAGACAAGACATAATTTAGTTAACAATATAGCTTAACGTTTACAGAAACGTCTTTGTTATTAGGCCTGAGAGAAGCTTTTAAACTCACTGAGAAACAGATGATAAAATTAAGAGAGTCCATGTGAGTGTTCTGCAGTTAGATAATATTTGAAATATACCCAAGATATCCACAGAGTGAAATTTATGTAACTTGCCTGGATACCAAATGGCTGATCTCTGATATTCATATCATCCTTAGCATATCTGTTACACAAACACAAAAGAAAAAAATACTTAATTCACTATTGTTTTTTAAAACCATCGTATACAAAATTACCTTTTATTGTTAAGTGTGTACCTGTTTCAGAGATATACTTCTGGTAAACGTTAGTTTTAATGTGTTTTCAAATACGGATATAAAATTCAAACAAAACCAAAGCTGATCAAGGAAATAATTCCAGGTTTACAGGTTTTACTAATTAAGTGCCAGGACATGAGAGGATTACACAAGTGACCTGCTCAAAAATAAAAAAAAAATCATTCAGAGAAAATTCAGACATCTTACTTTTCTCTAGGGGCAACTTTTTGCCATTCAAATTTGTATTCAGTCTCTCCTTCTTGCTATAAAACAGAAAACATGGTGGTAAGTTTGAAAATTTTTTTAATACATTTTAAATAAGTAGGAAGAAAACATAAAGAAATGATGTAATGAAATACCTCTTTAGCTTCCTCTTTGAATTTTCAGAAATCATGGAAAGAAAAGAAATAATACATTAATTATACATGTAAAATGCAGCTGGTGTCTAAGCTGGAGACAAAACATTTAATGGTTTATACTAATACAACAGTGCAAATACTCAGAGAGTAACTTTATTTAAACAGAGCGCACTTATAAATGATCAGCCTCTACTATATGGTTACAAATCCTGTAAAGCCAGAATCATCTTTTAAAATTATATTGGGTTGATATACAAATACAAAAAACTTTAAACTTTTTTTTCCAAAAGTAGCAACAATACTTAATTTTAAAATCTTAAACAAAAATATTTTTTAGCAAAAATCACTAGTTTAAAATTGCATTTGCTCTAAGCTCAAAGGATTACTTTAAGAGCTTCTAAAGTTAAATAATTGCAAAATTTGCTCTACAAGAATGAGCCCATCCAAGCATTTCCAAGAGTTTTTGTACAAATAGGAAAGATACATTTTAAAGGGAATATGTTTTCTTCATTCTGTGCTTACATTGAGATTTTGCTAAAACTAAGTAACTGATATGAGTACCCACCAGGTACTTAATAACTTCTGTTTATGAATCTACTAAATACAGTCATAGTCAGACCCACCAGAGTCAGGTCAGCCAGTACTTCTGACTACGGATTCTCAGTATTTATTATTTATAAAACTTCCACTAATTAACTTCTTGCTTTGGTATTTCCTATGCTTGACATGCATCAAGCTGAACTATGAGCAGAACTTCTAAGCAAAAGTGACCTTGCTATTTCTAAAAAGGTGAGTAGGCCAAAATACAGGTTTGTGTTGTCTGCGTCATTACCTTGGTAAGGTCTAGTCCTCCTCACCCAATGGTTTTATAATTGCCTAAAGAAACACCTTTGGTCACAGACAGAATTTCTGCTGTTGCCAGGAAAGATATTTTATCTGTTTTTCCCTTCACACTGAACTGTTGCTTAAAAAAAAAAAAAAAAAAAAAAAAGTAACCATTTTCAGTTTGAAAGAAATGAAAATATTGTGAGATCCAAATTACTACATACTATATATCTCTGCATATTCGCACAGGAAGAACTGAAAATCGTACCTTCTAGCATTACCTCACTATAAAAACATTATTTTAAAATAAAAGACACTATGCTCACTATGCTTATTTCTTCAGAGGGTTTCTAGCTTTACAGTACCGTCTGCTCATGCTCAGGAAACCAGAATACCTTTCTTTGCTCCAGGTGGGGCCTCATACATGAAATTAAGACCATTCTTCACACGCTCATCACCCATAAGCAATCTAAATCAAAAGAACAGAGTTTGGGATGTTACACACAAAACATTCACTTTGATAGTACTTATTTTAAAAAAAAGTGCAGCAGGAAATTGTGATAATAACTGGCGTTTTTTTCATTTGTTAATTTGAGTACCAGAAGTTGAATATCAGAAAACCTAGGAGACCAGTCAACACTTTTGAGTGCTCCATTGTGTACCAAAAATCACACATTTCAGTCACAACTGAAACATAACTGTTTCCATAGAATTATGGAGGACAGATTTCTCTTTGATCCAAATATGTTGCTATACAAGGTTATCTGCTCTTCTGTGCAACATAACATATTTTGAAATTAACTACATGACACACACAAGCCATTTGAAAGAAGTTATTGTGACCTCTGCTTAATCAGACATCAATTTTATGAGTCGCTGTCCTCTCCTACTACTACGGTCAGCGGGAGACAGTATTTCAAATAATTCACAATGAGATGTCCTTCACCGCCATGAAAACAAGAGGTAGCAGGGACAATTATGTGATCTTATACCAATTCTCACCGATTATCATAGGATTCCTGTTCTTTAAGATACTGTTGCATTAATTCTTCTTGTTTCTTCTTATCATATGATATTTTCTGTTCCGCCATCCATACCTAGTTAAAACAAATAAGTTTCTACTTTAACCAAATACAAAACCTACCACAAAATGCATTAATGTATAAAAACTTAACTAGCTTAGTCTATTGAAAATATTTAACAAGGGAAAATTCCCATTCTAATCACATCAAATAAATTATTTTCATCCAGCATTTCAACAAACGAACTTGACGCAAACAGCATTTTTGATAGGCTAAAACTCCAACCAACATTTAAGAACTGACAAGACACGGTAAGTTTAGCAACGGGAAGGCAAAGGAGGCTCAGAAAACACCCTGGGTTTGCCACTGTCCTCCCCGCAGCGACACTGCCTCACCTCGGTCTCACCAGACCCCAAATCCCAGGTTCTCCTGGAATGGTATGGCCCTGGGAAAGGAAGGCCTGGAAGCAGGTCACGGCAGGTGTGAAACAGTGGGAAAAGGCGAGCACACCGTGACAGATGGGGTTGGTGTGGACGGTGTATAGTGCCAAACAGACACCACTTATCCAGAGAACCAGGTGTAGAAAAGCTGAAGCCAGAACAGGCGATAGTTATACGCACCTGTGAGCAAGTAAACCTGACGCTGCAAGTATTATCTTAACTTTCTTTCCTGCCTCCTCCTCCCCCCGTGCCCCAGCCCCGGTCCCACCACAGAAGGCGGACGTGCCCCGCTCATCCCGCTGCGCTGCCGGGAGCCCCTCACCCGCCCGGGACGCGGCCCGGGACACCGCCCGGCCCAGCCCCCCGGGATCCCCCGGTGCGCGGCGGCCGCG